CAAATGTTGACAAAGTTGAAAGATACTTTGGATTTCTTAGTGTTTGATCTTCACCATTAAGTAAATACAGTAATTCTTGTCAAGTACGATGTTGGCATTGTATCGTCTACATCTCTTACAGATTCCTACAAAGTGATGTGATAAATTCAACCATGAAACGATACGGAAAGGTTCGCTGATACAAGGAATTACAGATGTGTTGATTGCCTATAGAATGTCTGTCTAGCGTTGGTACTGGAAAATAAAAAGTCAAACTTTTTGAAATATGTATCAAACATTGTATTTTGTTAATTTGGGGGTCTGAAATCCCTGAACTCCAGTTGAACCTTGTTTGACTTTTAAATCATGGTAATGATATTTTGATGGATCAGCGTTAATTTCTGAGATCACATGATCAGAGATATACCAACCACAGAAATGTCTTGTGTATTGTTAACTCACATCTTAACAAATGTTTAGGGTCAGTGGCCAGGCGAAATGTTTGTTGCGGTATAATTTATACACAAAATTTGTTGAAATAGTTTGTTCCTGATTATATAGTATGGTTTGGTGTTTGTACAGCTACATTGTATACCTATCAAAAGTCAACATGTTAGATCATGTATATAGTAATGTTTTTATCTTCTCTAATGAAAGGCCTATTCCTTTTAAATTGAGAAAATATTGCAAAACTGTCACAAAATTGGCTTTTAAAACAAAAATCAGAACATTTATCAGTGCATTTTATATGAAACTCATAGTTATTTTTTCTGCAATAAAATATATACATTTAATAAAATATCGCAATATTTTCACAAATTTGGCTTTTAAAACAAAAATGAGAATGTTTATCAGTGCATTAAATATAAAACTCAAATGTCATTTTTCTGCAATGAAACAAATGCATTTATTACACATATTTAGTTTTCAAAAACGAACTCATACTTTTTCATTTTGGAAAAAAATGATTTAAGGATAATATTGTTTTAATTCCCCAGAGCATGATGTTGAAATTTGGTCACATGGAATAAACTTAAATTAACCGTCTACTTGGTGATGGATACACACAACCTGAAATCTTATGAAATCTTATTGTAACCCTTGTGGATAATGCAAGACTGACCATCCAGACCAAAAACATCCATTTAATTGTTACGAAGAATATTCTGAAAGAATTGGTTAAATTGACTTCTCCAGCATTAGGTAATTATGATGTGATATCCTGCCAAATGAATATGTCTGTTGTCCGATATAGGAGGTTCTCAAAGTTGCAATGGTGTGAAAAATATGGCTGAACATAACACTTTTATTACTAGTAACAAACATGTTTAATTTTCCTCTTTCTGTGCGACAAATATGTGACTGTTTATACATAAACATTTAAATGTTTGTTTAGGCAGAAGGCATAAGTCATCTTTGTCAGACATGAATCAGATCCAGACAATCCGAATGGTATTGGTGAATTTCCAAATGTTAACAACTGCAATGTGCTGAAAGAAATGGGTATACAAATATGTGGATCTGTGGAATGTTACTGTCCCCGACCTTAGATTTACCTGTGTTTGATGTCGACACACTCTACCGGTGCATCAAAGGCCAATATTGTTCATCAGTCTCCACGTTTGACAACCTGCCCAGTTATTTAATTGTGCTGTAAGGCCAGTGTCAAACGAGTCAAGAGTAAAGGAAAATCTGGCTTGAGAACTCTCAGTTTTTGTCCATATATCTTGATTGTTTGAGTTGTGCTTTGAAGATTTCACACCAGTTCCCATCATAAATACACCCTTTACACCATAACTCAGTCCTACAGCTCACACCCAGCAAATAAAACTAATAGTTCACAGATAAACTTTGCTCATTCAGATGCAGCCAATTATATCAAACATTATTTTTTTTATTTCTTGGTGCATGAACTTGAAAATTAAGTTGATATTTAAATTGTTGAATATGAATTTCTATATATTCTAATATTCTATTTCATGAGAAGAATATGTTGATGTGCAATTAAATTACAATCAGACATGTTTGACTTCATGTGTCTGTCGAAAGCTTCAGTAATAAGGGCCTATTATACCAGGCAACCCCCCTTTTTTAGGGATTAGTGAGTTCTCCAGAGACGGAACTAATCAATGAACATACCCGTAATACAGATATCGCGTCAATAAACACATAATAACATCACCTATATCATCTTAATTTTCAGCGTTAATGGGTCGTGCCCATCACTTCCTGTGAATCTGGAGACTGATATCATAATTTGATGGACTCATTTGTCACAATAAATGTGGGAATATGAGAGGGTTTCTTTCATTTAGCAAAGGGGATTTTTCAATGTTGTAATATCAATTATTTAACATTCACAATTATTTTCTGTATTATTTCAATATTTTGATAAATGACAGATTCACAAATGTACAGGTTGACCTGTGTGGTACGCCTGTGAACAGTGTGGACTGGAGAGTCCCAGGTAGAGTGGTGTAATATCTATACCCTAACCCACACGTAAAGGTAGTACACAGGACAAACTCCAAAAAAAATATCTTCTGGAAATTTGTATACGATTACAGCATCCTTTACAGCAGGCACAAGGATCTCTGTGATTCGGTAAATATCCCCAATAATTTGATAAAAAGAATGTTGAGTATTCAAACTTATATGTGTCTCATGTTATGAATTCTCCTAGGTATCTATCATAGTATCGCTACTGAATACTCCTAGGTATCTATTATAGTATCTCTACTGAATACCCCTAGGTATCCATCACAGCCACTAGGTATCCATCACAGTATCTCTTCTGAATACCCTAGGTAGCTATCACAGTATCTCTACTAAATACCCCTAGGTATCTATCACAGTATCTCTACTGAATACCCCTATGTATCCATCATAGTCTCTACTGAATACCCTAGGTATCCATCACAGTATCTCTACTGAATACCCTAGGTAGCTATCACAGTATCTCTACTGAATACCCTAGGTATCTATTATAGTATCTCTACTGATTACCCCTAGGTATCTATCACAGTATCTCTACTCAATACCCCTAGGTATCCATCACAGTATCTCTACTGAATACCACTAGGTATCCATCACAGTATCTCTACTGAATACCCCTATGTAGCCATCATAGTCTCTACTGAATACCCCTAGGTATCTATCACAGTATCTCTACTGACTACCCCTAGGTATCCATCACAGTATCTCTACTGAATACCCGTATGTATCCATCACAGTATCTCTACTGAATACCCTAGGTATCTCTCACAGTATCTCTACTGAATCCCCCTAGGTATCCATCACAGTCTCTCTACTGAATACCCCTAGGTATCCATCACAGTATCTCTACTGAATGCCCCTATGTATCCAACATAGTCTCTACTGAATTCCCCTAGGTATCTATCACAGTATCTCTACTGAATTCCCCTAGGTATCTATCACAGTATCTCTACTGAATACCCTAGGTAGCTATCACAGTATCTCTACTGAATACCCTAGGTATCTCTCACAGTATCTCTACTGAATACTCCTAGGTATCTATCACAGTATCGCTACTGAATACCCCTATGTATCCATCATAGTCTCTACTGAATACCCTAGGTATCCATCATAGTATCACTACTCAATACCCCTAGGTATCCATCATAGTCTCTACTGAATACCCTAGGTATCCATCACAGTATCTCTACTGAATACCACTAGGTATCCATCACAGTATCTCTACTGAATACCCGTATGTATCCATCACAGTATCTCTACTGAATACCCTAGGTAGCTATCACAGTATCTCTACTGAATACCCTAGGTAGCTATCACAGTATCTCTACTGAATACCCTAGGTAGCTATCACAGTATCTCTACTGAATACCCTAGGTATCTATTATAGTATCTCTACTGATTACCCCTAGGTATCTATCACAGTATCTCTACTCAATACCCCTAGGGATCTATGACAGTATCTCTACTGAATACCCCTATGTATCCATCACAGTATCTCTACTGAATACCCTAGGTATCTCTCACAGTATCTCTACTGAATACTCCTAGGTATCTATCACAGTATCTCTACTGAATCCCCCTATGTATCCATCATAGTCTCTACTGAATACCCCTAGGTATCTATCACAGAATCTCTACTGAATACCCCTAGGTATCCATCACAGTATCTCTACTGAATACCACTAGGTATCCATCACAGTATCTCTACTGAATACCCTAGGTAGCTATCACAGTATCTCTACTGAATACCCTAGGTAGCTATCACAGTATCTCTACTGAATACCCTAGGTATCTCTCACAGTATCTCTACTGAATACTCCTAGGTATCTATCACAGTATCGCTACTGAATACCCCTATGTATCCATCATAGTCTCTACTGAATACCCTAGGTATCCATCATAGTATCACTACTCAATACCCCTAGGTATCCATCATAGTCTCTACTGAATACCCTAGGTATCCATCACAGTATCTCTACTGAATACCACTAGGTATCCATCACAGTATCTCTACTGAATACCACTAGGTATCCATCACAGTATCTCTACTGAATACCACTAGGTATCCATCACAGTATCTCTACTGAATACCCGTATGTATCCATCACAGTATCTCTACTGAATACCCTAGGTATCTATCACAGTATCTCTACTGAATACCCCTAGCTATCCATTATAGTGTCTCTACTGAATACCCCTTGGTATCTATCACAGTATCTCTACTCAATACCCCTAGGTATCTATTATAGTATCTCTACTGAATCCCCCTAGCTATCCATTATAGTGTCTCTACTGAATCCCCTAGGTATCTATGACAGTATCTCTACTGAATACTCCTAGGTATCCATCATAGTCTCTTCTGAATTCCCCTAGGTATCTATTATAGTATCTCTACTGAAGACCCTAGGTATCTATCACAGTATCTCTACTGAATACCCCTAGGTATCCATCATAGTATCACTACTCAATACCCCTAGGTATCCATCATTACATGCTCAGTACCAATTTTATATCTTCTGTTCTAGGACCCACACATCAAGACAGTGATAAAGACTGCCCCGCTGTGGGGATACACACAGTTACGGAAGAGCATGAACGCCAACTTCTTCGTGGACCAGAACTCCCACTATGTTTCTGCCCTCAGTATGATAGGGCCCAGCCCTGACTGGTGTGTAGGTAAGTATTAGTCTGCCCACCACTGGAGTGTCAGTATGATAGGGCCCAGCCCTGACTGGTGAGTAGGTAAGTATTAGTCTGCCCACCACTGGAGTGTCAGTATGATAGGGCCCAGCCCTGACTGGTGAGTAGGTAAGTTTAAGTCTGCCCACCCCTGGAGTGTCAGTATGATAGGGCCCAGCCCTGACTGGTGTGTAGGTAAGTATTAGTCTGCCCACCCCTAGAGTGTCAGTATGATAGGGCCCGGCCCTGACTGGTGAGTAGGTAAGTATGAGTCTGCCCACCCCTGGAGTGTCAGTATGCAAGATATGATAGGGCCAGCCTTTTCCTTGAAAATACAGTACACCTTTTTATGATTATCAGGCTCCATTTTAAAATCTAGAAGATGTTAGCCATTGTTGTTGAGTACATTAGAACTGTTGACCGTTACAGGTGTGTCACGACTTAACCTGTGTCAAACCAACTGTACCTGGGCTGACCGCCTCGAGGTTGACCTATTCCCCTGGGATGCAGGAACAGACAGTGGACTATCATATTTGGTAAGTCACAGCTTGTTTAGCAATGTCAATTTCCTTTTGTCAACTTTAGTCCGGAGATTTTTTGGTAACATAATTTCTAGATTGTTACAGTAAAAATGTGAACACTTTCTCTTGCTGATTTTAGTGTTAGTTCCAGGAATTTATTTAAATATACTGTTTCACTGATGCCAGAGAAAGCAGACATGATTCAACATGTGTTGCCATTCCCTCAGAGTAGCTTGTTTTCATGAATTTTCAATCACTCTATCTTGTATCATAAGGCAAGGATGAGATTACTTGCTATATTCAGTACGTAGACTGGTTGTCCTCTGTATAACTGTACAGATTGGCACCAGGTACCTGGTACTACTGAATGACCTTGTGGGATATTACTGAATGACCTTGTGGGATATTACTGAATGACCTTGTGGGATATTACTGAATGACTTTGTGGGATATTACTAGAGCATGATCAGTGTCACAGTAAATGTATCCCTGTCACAAGTTGCGAAATGATGGTGAAGGGGAGATAATCCCTACAGTGTCATACAACTTTCCTCACAGATTTATTAAAAAATTGTAAATTTGTAAAAGTTACTTGATCATGTTGATATGTTTTATAACAGGCAAGAAATATTGCTACTAATCCGAAAGAAAATATCCACAAAATCACCAACCGTGACCCCAACCATCCTGACTCTCCGTTCTACGGGACAGAGAAGATCCTGCCCATGGCTCGCCTCACCATCTCGAAGAAGTCGGAGCAGACATGTGATGACGAGACAGCAGACAATAACTCGGGCGAATCTGCCGTTAGTACCAGCATTCTTATTGAACGAATGAAGAAGAAAATGATGATGAAGAAAAAAATAGGTATATATAATTTATACCTTTAGTTAGATTTCTTACATCCTGAATGTGCAAGCCTCTTATATGGAGGATCAGCATGTGCGTTATTTTCCATTTTGTTTGATTCTGTCAGCATCACCATACAGAAAGAGATATCTGAGACTAGCTGTTGATCTAAAACAATCTCAGACAGAACATCTGGTAGATTTGTGTGTACAAAGAAGTGGAAACTTTAGATCTAGTTTAGGAAAAACTTGACATAAAAAAAATAACATAGTTCCTATAGAATAGATATTATATGTAAAAATCAGATCTAGAAATTGAAACTGCAAAGATTCTCAAAGTTTATATAAAAAAAAGAAAAAGGGAGAGTTTTAAGTTACATATCAAGGTAATGACATTTGGATATTGGTACATAGGTACTAACATGTATATTTTAACAAAGACTTCAAATTTAGTTTTTATATTACCCTAAATATTTGGTAAATGTAACACTTGTATTGGAATGAATACTAGTATTAGAGATATCGGAGCCTGATATCGGAGCCTGATAACAGGGACGGGTGCATCATTGCCATAGCTTTGTATCAAAAATTCTACTGGAACTTATGGGAAATTATAACAATGAATGAAGTTTGCATTGAGTCTGCAGTTTTTGATATAGGCAAATGCTTTGCTTGTGGAAAAGAAGCTTGCTTTTGGATGTTTCTGGACCTGATGTTGACTTGTATATCGCACGATACAGAAATTCCTCAGAAATACAATAATTAACGATGCAAACACAAATATCATGCATGGATATTTCTATAGAAAACAGTGCAACAATACAGTCCACAATATTTTAGTTTCGTGACATAAAATATGTGTACAACTTTAATAATAGATTCTTTGGAGGCTTCCTGCTAAACAGAGTCAAAAATAGACATAATCCTAGAATGCACCTCTACAGTCAATAGGTACAATATACCCCTACAGAATCATCCATACATACTGTAGTCAAGCACAGGTAAAATTCCAGTAAATCATAGCTGTCAAACCTCCTTCATTAGGAGGGAGACTCCTTCCCATAGCTGTCAAACCTCCCTCATTAGGAGGGAGACTCCTTCCCATAGCTGTCAAACCTCCCTCATTAGGAGGGAGACTCCCTCCCATAGCTGTCAAACCCCCATCATTAGGAGGGAAACTCCATCATTTTGACCAAAATTTACAAATCTTCCTCAAAACCCTCTCATTCATGTCTAAACTCACCCAACCCCAAAATCTGATTTCTGTGATCAAATGATCTCCTAGTTACTACATGGTATGTGTATTGATCACAACAGGTGTGTCTGAATCAAATGAATGCTTTTTGGAGTTATTTTGATACATAAAAATGGGAAAGATAAATTGAGCAAAACTGAGTTTCATGTGTGTTTCACACACTTTCACCCTCATTTGAAATTTGGAATGAGGGATATCCCCCCTCATTGGAGGTGTCAGAGGTTGACACCTATGGTACATATCCATACAGAGTTAAACATAGGTTTAGGTCTGTACCACAACCAGACTTGTAAACAGATATGGTTTAACTACCTAGACTATACAGAGTCGAACACATAAGTATATTAGTCCAGTATATTTGGTAGGGATATTGTTGTATTAAAACTAATTCCTTTTTTGCTCCGATATGAATGCATTTGTGGCAGAATTTTGTAATACATTCACCAACAGCATAACCTTTCTATTTATGGTTTCAAACACAATTCTGGAATAATACTGTTTTTGGACTAATCTTTACACACATACATAAGGGGAGGCTAATTTTACTAAATCTGACAACTTTCTAAGGCTTTGTTACATATCCTAATTTTATTCTGATAACATTGCCTGTTTGACAGCTGATGCCATGCTGCGTAAGTATTTAGGAAACTCAAAATATATATGTATGCCATGTTGCATAGGTGAAAAGGTGTTCAAAGGGGAGTAAGCCAGTCTTGTTTTACAGAAGTGCGAGTTTGGATGCATGGTGCATGTACTACACTGTCTGTGGAGATGTGTTTTGATGTCAGAATCATGGTGCTAGCATGAGTCATCATTTTAATGTACTCGAAGAAGGATCTTGCTCATGTACTTGGAAACTATACTATATATGCAGAAAATGTTGAAATTTTAGCAACGGTAATGATTATCATAGTGATGACGTAGGTGATTATATACATGTATAAAAGCAGTATACTGTTGGGCTGATGCAATGTGATTTAAGGCAATAAGGAAGATGTGCATGATAAAAATAGCATATTTGACTTTTCTATGTTATTTGTGTTACCATTTTTCCATTTTGTTGTTAAACTATCAAGTAAATGTGCTGTCGTGGAATGCCTGGAGTTAGCCGTGTGATGGACAATCTATATCTATTTATATATACTGTTGATACGAATAACATTGTGAAGGAAAGTCCTAAATAGACGGTGTGGGAGTTGAATTGATGAATGTATTATAAAGAGATACGTAACGGGTAGTGGGAAAGGACAAGGTCACAATACAAAAATGACTGATCTAGTTACCTTAGTAACTATACACAACTTTCAACATATGGTGTGGTTATGGTAAACCTTCAAAAGTATTTTTCTTCATTCAAAAATGGCGAAATGGCAACTCTCAACAATTCATAATAGAATGTGTTAAATTGACAAATATTGAGAGCGCTGACACCCTGTTTTTTAACACCCAGTTTCCAATGCCTTCATCCCAATCACACAGATGTCCTCAGACTTTTGGGACTTTTAAGTAAGAAAAACCTATATATTATACACCATTAAAGAATATCTTAATATCTTCATACAACTCCAACAATCAAGGTTATTTGCCTTTTTTATTTATGATGAAAAAGTCTTTTCTTCAAAATGAACAAATTTGATACATTTAAGTTGACCATAACCTCACCTGCACCTTCACCTAATATAGTCGTTAAGTTAGTGATGCTTCCTGTTCCCCACTGTATATAAGTGTGAGCACATATCACCGCCTTCACATCACCACCTAATGGTATTCATCACTCCTGGTCAGAATACCACTGACCTGTCAAAACAAATTGTATCAATGCATTGTTCTTGTGAATCAGTATCATGCAAACGTGTTTTCAAAGTTTAAGTATAAATGAATAGCTACTTCATACAGTTTATGTTCAAAGTTCTAAGGAACACATAATGTTTGTCACTACATGAACCGTTCAACGACATGTCTTGCAGCAGAGTCTGTAGTAGTCGTAGGGCTGTTTACAGTCTAAAATCAGTTACATTAAAACTTATAATGGTAAACATTTTCAAACAGAGTGATACAATTTGTTTTGGAAGTGTTATGCTTTTCCACAAATTAATCCTTTTCATGTATTTTAACAAGATTTCATCATATCTATTTATAGAAATGGAGAAGTGTTCGACCACGGAGTGGTCAGACTGGGGTAACTGTAATAGCACATGTGGCACTGGGTACCGCGAGCGGCGACGACTCCTGAACAATCTCCGAATCTCTGCGTTGGCATGTGACCTTGACCTTACTCAGAAGGAGGTATGTGAAGGTGACTGTAGGCCGACCCACAGAAGGAAGGGACCAAAGGAACTCCCTGATGACTATGTCATTCGACATGAACTTGACAGCATCGACCTGAATGACCCATGTGCAGTGACTCACTGGTCAGACTGGTCCCCATGTAGTGTGACGTGTGGTATTGGAATCATGGAGAGATGGCGCATGTTCCTGTGGAAGAACAACTCATCGCAGTGCGAGGTGAAGCAACGCCTAATGGAGAAGGACCTATGCTATGGCTACATCCGTGATTGTAGGAAAGCAATCATGATGAAGAATTACTCAGGTAGGGTCCTGTCACCACAGGTTTGGGACGTTATAGCTTCTACTCAGGTAGGGTCCCATCACCACAAGTTTGGGACGTTATAGCTTCCACTCAGGTAGGGTCCTATCACCACAGGTATGGGACGTTATAGCTTCTACTCAGGTAGGGTCCTATCACCACAGGTTTGGGACGTTATAGCTTCCACTCAGGTAGGGTCCTATCACCACAGGTTTGGGATGTTATAGCTTCTACTCAGGTAGGGTCCTGTCACCACAGGTATAGGACGTTATAGCTTCTACTCAGGTAGGGTCCTATCACCACAGGTATGGGACGTTATAGCTTCTACTCAGGTAGGGTCCTGTCACCACAGGTTTGGGACGTTGTAGCTTCTACTCAGGTAGGGTCCCATCACCACAGGTTTGGTAGGTGTAAAGTCTTGTCAGTCCAACAGTCCAAGCTGAAACTGGCTAGATTTTGGAACATCTTGATCCATGCCAAATTTCTCAAATGGATATTGAAACATGCATTAATATGGCTACACTGTATGTAGGAGCGCTCATTGGTGCAGGCTTAGTGACTCGACCTCATTTGATGGTAAGGTTTGGACAAAATCTACTCGGCATACATGGAATTGAAATTCAAACCATTTGTTAGTATTCAAATATTGATTGGTTGAAAAAGTTAAATCTGGTCGTTGTTGTCTGATATAGACTGAAAGAAGCAAGCTTTCTAGCCTCTTTTTTGTTTTGCTTTTTAAACACTGCAGATCAACTCAGTAATTGAAAAAAAAAGGTTTCAACCCTTAGAATAGAAATATAGTCTCGCGACAACCTATGAGAAGAAGCAGTCAGTCATGAACTCAGAAAAATGTAATTTTTCTTTTCAGAAAGACTAGCATGGCATGATCATATTTATTGTTGTTACAACTGAAATATTTGTTATCATGTACAGTGGAACCATGTTTGTAAAAAAAATCTGAACTATAAATTATCAAATTTTCCATTTTTATCAATGAAGCAAAATTGTACATCCCGAGAGGAGGTTCATTCTGTAGTATTATTTTCAGGAAATCAAGTGTTAGTATCAGGAAAGCCAGTTGTACAGATTGTTAAAGCTTTTATTAATGTGGTTCCTCTTTACTTCCAGATCAGATTGAAAGTAATTTACATAAATTAACCTTATTTGAGTCCTATCTCTGTCTCATTATACATGCAGAGCTTGGGTCTAAACCTTTTCTATAACAGTTATTGGTGCTATTTGCTTACATATATCACCCCAATGGTTCCACTTTTTATTTTATCAATATATGTAGTGGAGGAATTTAATGGTGTCCCCAACTAATTAATAAAGAAGGGTTTTACAGATTTGAGCATGCCATGTGAATGGTCAGTTTGTATCCATTCTTCTGAAGCATCATCACATAAATGTGTTCCAATCAAACATTCCTGGGACTATGATGATGTTGATGATGAGTTTGGTGATTGGATACAGTGCTGACCAATGACAGTGCTTGGCCAGTGATGTCAGATGACGACCTACCACACTAAAGTGTACATTGGTGCTCCGACTGACCTGGCCAGGCACCCGTTGACCTTGTGCATGACCTGGTTTGTGTGGTGGTTTGACCTATAACCCCTCTGTCTTACAGTTATCTGCTCAACACCTGTGGAAATTGGACCTTGTAAAGGGCTCTTTCCGCGATGGTACTATAACAGCGAAGAAAACACATGCCAGTCATTCTCCTATGGTGGTTGCCGTGGAAATGAGAATAATTTCCGTTCAGAACAAGAGTGCACAATGACCTGTGACCATGCAATGGGTACAGACTTTTTTGTCAATTGTCTGTCTACATCCTTTGTTCTCTCATCCCACTCACATTGTCTGTCTATAGACTAGATTCCTCATCCAGCTCATCCTGTGTGTTTATGATGTAGTTTCCATAGTCATCCTACTCATCCTGACTTTGACCTTAGATCCTTAACATTTGGTTTCGATGTAATCACGTTGTCTTTACTTCCTGTTTCCTTTATCAGTTTAGACATTTTGTACTTTCTTATTCATTGATCTATCAGTAGTCAAATTAAATTATGACCTAGAACTGTACCTATAATCTGTATACATGTTGGTGACGACATTTACTACCAAAAGTGTTGGTAAGAATTTCTTCCAGTCCTTAAATTTCTCACAGTTTTCCTAGCTGCTAATGGTATCTTTTTGTAAATTTTCATGAAGTAATAAATGACCTCGAGGATTCCTTTTACGCTTGAACACTGTTTCTGTAAATACTAAGCTTTCAGCTTATTAACCTTTGTGCAGCTTTGTTCGGGATTAGCATTCAAATTTCAGAGGTTCAAGTTGATTTTTATGTTTTTATGTGACCTACAACAGCATCCTCTATGACCTTTGACATGTTAGTTTTACATTGACCAGTTAATTTGAACTTTGACCTATAAATGTAACCTTTTAGAATATGTGTTTGACTTTCATTTCATATAAAGTTTTGGCTGTGAAGATAAAAGTTCTACAGTTGCATGTCATACTATCATGAAGTAGTTGAATGAATGATTATACATACCTATCATAATTGAATTACAACCCTGCAGTGGGTCAATACTGGTTGTACTAACATGTTACCAGGTTACGGGAGTAGATATTACTTCAATTTAAAGGTGATATTATGTATACAAAATTTGAAGATATTTTATCTCGATCCATCATGCATTTTATAGTATTGACTGAAGTCAAGTAATCATACACAGAAATAATGGGAGGATCATTTTGTCAATAGGAAATGTAATTTCTTTGAAAAAATATCACATTGAAATCTTTCACCTTATTCCTCATAATCAATCTTGCCTTATTTGGTTTGTGCTCACAGCAAGTCTGAATGAAGGACCAACCAATGAGGTTATGATCATGAGGGAGGGTAATGTGGACATGAGACAGAAGGTCATGGTGGGATCTAACAGGCGCGGCAGGAAGAGGAAGCCAACCAAGAGAGAGAAAAAACAAATGAGAAAACGAAAAAATAAAAAGGCTAGACGATTACAGCGTCAACGTGAGCGTGAACTGGGAGGACGAGGTGAGCCATCCAGTGACGGACCAGCCAGTAATTGTCAAGTGTCGTCCTGGACTGAATGGTCACCCTGTTCTGTCACGTGTGGTAAGGGCTTCATGATGAAGACCAGGTCAGTCGAGGTGGAGGCTCAAAATGGAGGCAGGTGCACACGCAGGCTGTCCAAGAAGAAGAAATGCAGGAGAGAGAAAAAATGTCGTAAGTATGAGTACAAATCTCGTGATATACAGAACACATTCCTTGGATAAAAAAACAGAATTATTATTGGTTTTTAGAATTTTTTTCTTATGTTAAAATTTGTGCATAATTACCAGGATCATTCTTATTCACAGAGACTGCAATTCATTGATTTCGAAAAGTCTTAAGTGTGACTTTAGGTGTCAATGGTTTAACCTGTGTGTGTCTCAGAATAAAATGATTGAGCTTTCATAGAAAGTGACCCAGGGTGACTGACTCATTGTGACAAATTGGATTTTTTTTAAAATTAACAGTTTAACAGAATTACTTTGAAATAAATCTTTCTAATACTGCCACCATTTGTCCAGAGAACACTGGTATTATAAAGGCGCTGTCGAAAATCTAGATAAAAGGACTGTAATGTCATGTGATCTTCATACAGTTGTTAAGTGATGTAATCTGTATTGTAGCGGTGGACTGTGTTCTGTCGGAGTGGGGCGAGTGGACACCCTGCTCTCAAACATGTGGTGACAATGCTGTACAGAAGCGTCGAAAACGAGTCATAAAGCGACCAAAGCGAGGCGGGATGGACTGTCCGCCACGCCGGGAGAAGAAGTTTTGTGTCTTGCCTGTCTGTCCAAATACAGATGAGGTCAGTCGACACTTCAATGTATCTTCCTAGATAGGTTGACATTTCTATCTAATCTGTTAGTTGTTTAGAAACTTCAGTGTATGGTCTAGAAGGTATGAAGATAACTATATCTGACTATTTAGTTATATGTAAACACGCTTCAGCAGTGTTTAAACTTAACGGTAGACCCATAGACAATCACCATGTAAAACACTGTAGGTCTTCATTGACCAAACTGATTTCCTATGATTCAATGATAAGTATGGCAGTGAGGGGAAAAGGTTCTGTAAAATTCCCTTTTCTTCTTATATTGTTACATATTTTCTTAATTTTATGTTTTATTACATAATCAGCCTGTTATCCAGTGAATTTGCCCGGGTAATATTTTTAAATTTGTCACTAGTGTAATATACCCTGGATCGTTTTTCATTGGCTGTGCCAGTCAGAAATCGATTGTGACATCATAATATGGATAATGACGTGATTACTCCTTTACATTTTGGCTTTAAAACCTGTCAAAATGTAAGTTTTCTGAATTATGTGATAAAGAGTATCTTAAATTTGTTTTCATTTCATATGAGCTTTTATGAAACTTGTCTCGAAGTTTTAATTTTTGCTTGCCAAGGCATGCAAAAATAAAAAAACTCCTAAGATTGTTTCATAAAATCTCATATGAAATGAAAACTCATTTAAGATCCTATATATAAAGCACTAAATGAAAGTAAAATGTTCTTGGTCAAGTTCTGGTCTATAAAAATACCAGTAGGTCTATAAGAACCATTTGAGTGGCAGAAGTCAAGGTCTGGTCTATAAAAATACCAGTAGGTCTATAAGAACCATTTTGAGTGGCAGTATAAGATTTGTCCAGAGATTTTTTTCCATGACAATGATATATTAACTCATTCACCCTTGAAGACACATTTGGACTCTTCCAATTCAAAGGTTGGAATAGTTCATTATGGAATTTTAGGGGTGAATGGGGGGGAGAGAGAGAGAGAGAGAGAGAGAGAGAGAGAGAGAGAGAGATAGAAGATTGTTAGGAAAAAAAAGGAACAGGGGTCTGTTCTAACAGATGGCTGTAAGTGAGAATGAAATCTGTACTGACTTTGATTTAGAGAGGAACACACATTTTTTAGCAATAAATTGAGTTGTACTTTAAAACCATGAGTTGGTGGTAATTTTGTTGTTGTTCTTTGTTTCAGATGGAAGAGATGATGAGAGATGCTTTATTTTCGAATCCGCAGTCATTCCCATGACAACAGACACATATTACGAAACCGTAAACATTTTCATCCAATCTTGCATCATCAAAGGAACTTACAGTAGTGTAGACTAAATATAACTGTGAGGTGGCAGCAGCACACATTCGGAATTATTTCTAATTGGACAAAAACTGCTGATGGACAAGGTCAACTGGTCAAAGACAGGGATGTGATACCCTGTATGTAACCCATTAGTCCTTTGATGTTTTGTATTTAAAGCGAAAATGAGAATTTTCCAAAAAACTGTGATTCTTCTTTTTTATCAAATTTTCTCCCACTAACCCTACAGTGCAATGTTAATATGTGAAAGTTGACGGTAGAACACACTGTTGTTCAATATTTATTACAAATGTAAATTCAAAGTTGGGATACAAATTTAGAAATGGAGGAATCACAGTACGCATACAAGTCTTTCATCATATCATCTTAGATAGGTTATAATCATATCAGTTGGTCGTTGACCAATTAATGTAAACATTTTTTATTTGGTTCATTCTGTTACTTGTTTTGTTGTTTATTTTGTACCAATGCTTTCCTCGCCGACGATTATTACCATATGTACTGGAGGTCGTGGAAATAAAAAGGGATTTCTTTAATTTTTGTTTGTAATGTAGGTATCAAGATATAAGCCTTGTTTTTTTCCTCCTAATCAGTTTAATTCAGACTCCGAGATGGAGGACCATAACCCCCCACCAGTGTATTGGTGATTGTAAGCTTTTGGAGAGATTTTCCCCAACATTTGCTACTTTTGACGGCATTTCATAGTTTTATAATTGACTATAATCTGTAATGTTGATTGTATATACTCTTGATGTACAACTTATGTTAAAACTGAAAAGCATGGCGAGTGGATTATTACAACTGGACACACAACCTCTGATATGCAATTATCACTCGGGTTGTCATCGTTTCCAGATATTGTACCGAAATGACATACAATGCATCAGTGTGCATGGTTCTATTACCGGTAAGCTGGTACAAATACTAACTCTCAGCCTGCTTTTCTTTGAGCACAATCAGTCCAGTCCGGCCTACGGCTCCCAGCACCATCGTCTACTCGTGTGGTCATATAACAGGATTAACATGTCAACCAGATATTCCTTGGAAGCAAATTGTTGGTTTCAAGTCCACAGACATCACTAAAGTGACTGGGAGTTAGAAAATCTCCACCCAGTCTTATGCTAGGAGATAACAACTCAGTAATACTTGGTCTTGTGAATGGTTAGTCTCCTGTTGTACATC